CCTACGCCAAGGAAATAATGTTAAAGACAAGAGAACATGATTCACAATTAAAGTGAAGTTATAAAATAAATAATAGGATATTAACCTATCAATGTTTGAAAATGGAGCAAGATGTAAGATGGATTTTTTTCTTTTGAAAGTATTGAAGGTATTGAGTTGAAAGAACATAATACTCCTTAAATACTGATCTACTAGGGATGCATAATGTGGTTCAATAGAAAATTCAGGGAGAATTCAATGTTTCATGTTTTAATTTGTCTGTATTATATGATGATGTGTATAGTTTAATATGCCAAAAATTGAAAGGTGAAAATTGTGAAATGATGATTTTTGGAATTGTCTAAATTAACATAGTGGGTTGTTTAATTAAGATCAGAAAATATTGATTAAAAATACATAATTTTATTTTTTATATAATTTCAAATATTGAGATTTAATTAGGATCGTTTGATCTTAATCAAATAGACCTTAATGTTATAAATGCATGACAACTAGAGTATTGAAAAGTCGGTTGAAATACCTAAAAGCGTAAACGGTTAAATTTTGAGTTTTAATACACTTTTATTCAAACTAAAGCGCAAACGGTTAAATTTTGAGTTTTAATACACTTTTATTCAAACAATATCTATCATGATTTAATCAAGATGATGTTTTAGATAATAAAAGTTCTACCGACCAAATTGTCGTTTATTGATAAAGAGTCTATAATTTAATTGAAATGTATTTTTTTTATACATATATCTAAAATATAATAGTTTTTAATTTGTTTGAAGTGAATTAATGTGATGAATATCCAATCACGCTCGATCTCATCGAAAGAAAATTTATCATCCATTAAATTTTATTTAAACTCTAAACTAAATATAATATATATTGTCTAATGAGGAGATATATATTTCAAATATTGAGGTTTAATTAGGATCGTTTGATCTTAATCAAATAGATCTTAATGTTATAAATGCATCACAACTAGAGTATTGAAAAGTCTGTTTGAAATATCTAAAAGCGTAAACGGTTAAATTTTGAGTTTTAATACACTTTTATTCAAGCAATAATTATCATGATTTAATCAAGATGATGTTTTAGATAATAAAAGTCCTACCGACCAAATTGTCGTTTATTGATAAAGAGTCCATAATTTAATTGAAATGTATTTTTTTTATACATATATCTAAAATATAATAATTTTTAATTTGTTTGAAGTGAATTAATGTGATGAATATCCAATCACGCTCGATCTCATTGAAATTTTTTTTATCATCCATCAAATTTTATTTAAACTCTAAACTAAACATAATATATATTGTCTAATGAGGAATTATATATCAGTATATAAAAATTATATTGTTAATCAATCATAATTCAAATTATTAAAATAATCATATAAATATTAATTTAATTGCTTTAAAAAGTAACGTATATAATTAGTTGTGTATCTATTATAAAATCTCATATATTTGTATGCGTAATTTTCGACCATTTACATATAATCTATTTAAGGGCCATTTGTTTTTGTTTTAAAAAAATATAACTTTTATATATTTAAAAATTTTAATAAAAATGTTTTTTATACAAAATTGTAAAATTTATATTAAAAAAAATATTTAATATTATAAAAATCATTTTAAAAAACTAAAACAAATGGTTTTTAACTAACAAACAAATTTTAGTTTAACAGCGGTAAAGGTAATGACTAATTTATCTTTATAATCCAGGAGTCATTTAAATCACTATTTTAAAATAACATTAATTACTATGTATTGTTAGCGTAAATTTTTTTACATTATCGATATATCACAATCACACTAATATTATTTAATAAATAATTAAAATTAAATTAAATATAATTTATAATCTAACGATCATAATTCATTGATGGTGTAAAACTTTTTTATATTATCGATATAATTCAATTAAATACTTTAAAAATATGACCTAGTTTTTTTGCCAACTCTTTTATTTATTTACTCTCTCAATTGTTTATTATAACAGTCTTCTACAAATTTCAAAATCTCAAATATTAATAAAAAATAGTATGATATTAAATTTATCAAAATAATAATATTATTTTATATATTTATTCTTATAAATATATTTTTATAAAGAAATTATGTACGTTAAGTTTTTTAATATTATTTCAATTAGTGTATTTCTTTTATAAATAAGTCATTAATGCTTATTAACTTTTTAGGACAAACCAATTATAGAGTGTTTCCAAATAAATAAGATTGTAGGACAAACCAATTATATGTAACACCATAAAAAGTTATTTAATAAATTAAGAATAAACACCCATTTTAGTTTCTTACAAAAATTACATAATTTAAATTAGTCTTTCACAAAAAAAAAAGAATTTGATTTAATTCTTTACAAAATTTTATCGGATCATATTAGTCTTTCTATTAATTTTTTTTAGATCATTTTTTTATATTTAAACTATTATGTGTTTATCACTAGACTAATGTATATTGGTATAATTCTTATGATTTATAGTAATATTAAACAATTCTGAATTTAAAAATATATATATATAAAATTTGTATCCATGGTGTTTCAAATCCAAGTCCCTTTAAATTAGATTATAATTATTTTATTTAAAAATATGAAAAGTAATTTAAAAGGGGGTGAATGAATTAGATTAATTGATATTAGTGAATTTTTCTCGATTATGTTAGCAATGTTGTTCTTATTTTTTAGAAACTATTTTGATTGTTAAAGCATTGAAAATTGTGTGCTTTCTATTTTGTGTTGTAAAATCAAAAGGAGGTAAGTCTTTGTAATTATGTTAGATAGTCAAGTGAGTCAAGTGGATCAATTGTATTAATGTATCTGACATAGTGAAATATATCACGGGATGTGTTAGAAAGGTGAATCTGGATATATCTCGGTGTTCTTTATTTTTGTGTATTTATTTTCAGTGCTTTAATATTCATAACAATTCCGAAAAAAATAAAAACAACATCGCTAACATTCATAATCGAGAAAAATTGACTAATACTGATTAATTTAGTTCATTCACACTCTCTTAGATTACTTTTCATATTTACAATTAAATGACTACCATTTAATTTGAAGGGACTTGGATTTAACATTTCATGCATACACATTTTATATTTATTCGTTTTAATTTTAGAATTCTTTAATATTATTAGAAATCATGTGAATTATTTGTCTCCAATGTACTTTAACTTAGTGGTAAAGACATAGAATGTGACATAAATGTCTTGGGTTTGATGTCTTTTTGGAACTAATTTTCTCTTTTTTAATATATTTTTAAATCTAAATTATTTAAAAATAAAATCAAAATTAAAAATAAAAACTAATTTAATATTAAAAAAATGAAAAATAAAAAATAGGCGATCCAGTCATGGTTTAAAATTTTTTTTAAAATAAATATTAAAACAAAGATTAATATAATACAATTAAATTTTATAAGGGATTAAATAGAAGTTATTTTTTGAAGACTAATTTAAATTCTATAATTTTTAAGAAAGACTAAAATGAGATTTCACTCATAAATAAAATAGGAAATAATAAATAAAAAAATATGGAGGAAAAATATTTTTTTTTGTCATTGTCATTTTTTAAATTTATTGTCATGGCTTATAAGATTATATGTTTTTTTACGAAAAAAAAATATATATCTTTTTCTCACAAATTTAGATTATTTTCACCTAATTGTACTTTTTTATAAGCTAATTCCGGCAATTATAGACTTATAGTATAATATTTATATAATATTCTTATATCTCACAGTCTTACCCATATTATCTTAATTGAAAATAAATAAATATTAACTCATGCCATTTTACATTTAGATCAACCTTAATTTTATCAAATTCTACAAACTCAATCGATTAATTATTCACTACCGTTAATTTTATCAAATTCTACAAACTCACTTAATCGATTAATTATTCACTACCGTTAATTTTATCAAATTCTACAAACTCAATCGACTAATGTGTTCACTATTAGCCGTCAACTAGTTTATAAGTTATCAACTATAGCCTTGACCTCTATAAGTTAAATTATTAGTAATCTATTTTCTTTCAAATTGACTCATGTCAATACCCAATGGTACAAAATGAAATGGCTATTAGCAACCAGCTCACTAAAACTTTTGTTAGAAAATACAAATGAATACAATTAAAAATTAGAAAAAAATATAAGTACATTGCAATTCAACTTAGACTAGAAAGTCTTATTAATGACAAAAATATGATTTGGATTGGCCAAATGACCCAACAAGACTGCTCTAACACCAAAGACTCAAACCAAAATACTTATTATAACACCTCCGGCCTTTAAATCAATTGAGGCAGAAAGTTCAAACCGCTTGTCTTTCTAAATTTTTTTTTAAGAATAATTAAAATCCTACGTTATGTCTTTAAATCTTTGCTCTTCTTTGTTGTTATAAATTTTAAGATTGTCACATTTGCAAACATATAAGAGATACATATTTATAATAGCAAATATCCAACAAACAAAGTTCAAAATCACAATCCAATTATACATGAATCTATGGACCGAACTGAAAAAATCCAAAAACCTGAAATCACTATTCACCGTACGGACAATACTATTCATCTGTTCGGACAGTACTATTCATTCGTATGAGCGGTACTATTCACCGATCGATTTTTTTCTCGATTTCTATTTTTTGACTTTTCGTCCGACTTTCTAAAACATTTGATTTTCGCGGTAAATGCAATCTCTAAAATATGTTTTTTTTCTCTTCATCAACAAAGATTTTAAGACATATTTACAATAATCTTCATCTTGACTTTAAACCGTGTTGATACCAAATTAACAATCAACAACATTGTTGCTCTCTACCAAGTTGAAACTCTAATCAATAACTTTGATCAAATTCAAGCAACCCTTGAATCTTGATATCGCAACTTGCATTCACTTGTTTTCAATTACCATTTTCTACCTAGGTAATTTAACAAGTCTACAAGTATGATTTTTCAACCACCCTTGACTCCACATGTTTT